CACATTGTATGAGTCACTCCCAGCAATATCGGAAATTTCCTTTTTATGAAATTTGAACACTGCTGGGAAATACCGAAATAAAAGTTTCCTTCTATAAGTTTTGTAAAGTATTAGCAATCGCGATTTTCTTATAACGAATGAGTATGATTCATACATTTTTTTATCTGCGTTCTATTCCAAATAGACACCATACATTCTTTTATTTCTTTTCTTTTTCTTATTAAGACATAGCTCTCCTCCAAAATCGATTTTCAACATGGTGCATAGAATCTAGAATGTTACTTTATTTTATTTATTTCTATAATAAAGAATAAAGAACAGATATCTTTTTTCACACACAAATCGACAGATGATTGATACGATAGTAATGCATACGATATAAAGTAGATTTATATATTATCATTTCATAGTCATTCAAAAAGAAACCTTAATCTGAAGTTCATAGAATAAATAAGGTATTATAGAACCGATTTTGACGAAAGCTAGAGAAACTATTGAGAAAAACTCGTCGATATTCAAATAATTTTTTTGCCTAGGAACTCAAGCGGTTTCTTGAAAACCTTTAAACATTCATAAAATAAAGTAGAGATTTCGGACTGTCGACTGATACGAAGAAAGTCAAGAAAATATTTTTGCTTCATTAGGACATTCCATTTATAAAATAAATATGATAAAGTCTCCAAATGATCATTTTTACATACTGTCGATGGACCTAAAATTCCATATGCTTTGAGTATATATCGTTTCATAAAGAAAGTATGTCCAAAATACAATGTACAATTTTTTTTGTACGAGTACATATGTGATATTAAGAATGATACGACGCAAAATGAGTTATCAAACTATTCTCTAGGTCTTCGTTTTTATTAATCATCTGGAAAGATTGTATCGTCATACAATAAAGAATGTAAACGAGAATGGGAATACAATTCATGATTGAATTTAAGAAATTGAAATATTCATATACAAAGATCTCGCAAGACTTTCATAGGATTTATAAAAAAATTCTATACAAAATAGACGAATTTTAAATTGTTTACTTACTGATGGTTGTCGTGAATTCTATACATACAAACTTTATATAATATCAAACATTGTCTTTATTCATATTGTTATCACTCTTATTGGTCATGGTTCACTTGCGTCGACTTGTCTATAGAGCATTGCTCGTACTCAACACACGTGTATTTTTATTTTGTTCTTTGATGCGATGATAATTTGCTTGACGTAATGAAATAGATATATGAATATTTCTAGTGATACTATTAGTACTTGACCTGATCAATACGCATAAAATAGCTCATGATGATGAATGGATGATATATTCAAATATAAAACTTTATAAGCACAAGCAGAAGTTAAAACATCGATGAAAAATAAATTATTCCGCTGACTTATCTTTAGTACTGATTATATAAGAAAAAATTCTAATAAAGACAAATGAATACTTACTCTTTATATTAGAAACATTTCACTTTATCTTTAAAAATGAAACACAGTATGTAAACGTGCTTTATCTTCTAAATGAGGTGATTAATACTGAATTTATAATTTTACAACTGTTGACCTTCAAAAACTCACGTTTAATTTTTTCTCCGATTTAAACTAGTTTTAAATAAATATCGATGTAAATATAAAAGAAAATTTGTTTTTAAATTTCAAATGACATATTCATATGAGTTAAAATAAACTTTAATATTATAAAAAACAAGTACAGATGCACAAACGTAATCTTCCTTATCATGCAAGCATTTCTTAATAAGGATATGAAGATTTTATATAAATTATAAGTAATTGCTTTCCCACTAATATTTTCTTTATTAATTTCTATAAATAATCTTTTATTTTATTAAACTAATAATGCACGAAAGAGTTTGACAAAAGGAAAATTATAGAATAAAATTTGTCCGCGATGACTTATGTGTGAATCTGCTGGAATAAATGATAATTGTTTATGTATATTGATCTTGTTTAATGGCAAACATGTTTGTCTTTATGACATTCAGCTTTGCAAGCATGTTCTTGTTCTTTCATTTTAGCTTTACCAGCATCAAATGCAGCATCTACACGATCACTTGGTTTTTCATTTGGATCATGAGCTTTCTCTGCTTTGTCTTCAGCCTTTTTGCCTTGAACAGTTTCTTTAACTTTTTCAACACCAGCTTTTACAGCATCCATTTTATTTTCTACTTACAAATATTATAATTTATTATATAAAATAGAAACTTTTTTTTTCGTATAAAACTTACATAGTAAGAATAGTAGACGTGTTATAATGAGAGATTGAAGATAGATGAATAAATAAATTCCTTACTATTTATTCTCTTTTTTTTCTTCTCTTGTGCCATATATTCTTTTTTTAGATTTAGAGACGTAAAAAAACAGAGATCATTAAATACAACATGATTTGCTGCGCACATGTTTTTGACACGTTTTTTTTCAATGTATTTATCATTTTCTTTTATATATATATATGAGAAGGAAAAAGAGGCTTGTGCCTCAATAAAAAGGTGTGTACTTTTTGACATATTATTATTTAATATTAATATCGTATTCACCTGGAAAATTTTATGGGAGAAAAAATATCTTTGAAGCATATATGAATATACATTTGTTTTTGTTTTTAATTTTTATTTAGCTTAAAATATAGTTTTAAAAAACTATAGATTTATAAACAGCTTGAATAAATAATTACAAGTTATCACTGAGAAAAATAAAATTTAACTTCTTTTACATGATCCTCCTGAACATGCGTGTTTGTCGGCGTTGATTTCAGCTTTGACTGCATGTTTATCTGCTTTAGCATCGTGTTCGGCTGCAGAATGTGCAGCATCGATACGTTCAGATGGTTTTTTTGATGAATCTGCTGCATCATTGATGTCTTTTTGGGCTTCTTTGCCATGAATAGCTTCCTTTGCCTATCAATAGAATTTATTTATATATATACTAATAATATATATTTGCATCAATACCTTATCTATTCCAGATTTGATTGCGTCCATATTGAGTTTTTGATAATAAAAATAAGTATTTGTATGTAGAAAAAATATTAATGAATAACAACGAAAATAAAACTGTGGTTTATATATACACAATTGTCGTCATGCATGATTGCTTTTTTTATATTACGAGTAAAAAACGATTGTATGCGCAATATTTTTGTTTTTGGTTAAATTATATTTTTACTCATCGACAATCCATGATATAAAAAAAAATGCTGCGTCAAAAAACATATAAACTATCTATAAACATCAAAAATTAGCTTCGTCATATTGCGCATGATGTTTTTTAGTTGTCTAATCACTATTCTGAGTCCTATAATATATAATTTCGTATTTTATTGGTTGAAAAAAACAATAACATATCTGATCCAAATAATATAATATTGCGATGATTTTATTTTATATAATACATGATTAATAAAACCATATAGTTTTCTCTCAGTAACTATTGAAATTTAACATTCAAATATTTATTACGTGTATATTTATACTCTACCTATTGACCTATAACTATTTCTCTATAGGAATATAAATAAAAATATTGATCATATGACAAATACAAGAAATGATATTATATAAAAACTTCTGCGCAATTATAAATATATGCATATACTCGTTAAACTTTTAAGTCTTACAAACTCAATACGAATTCTATAGACATTAATCATACATATATAAATAACATGTAGATTTTCTTTTGAATTTTTACACATATAAGAGTTAATTTTAAAAATTATATAATTTTCGGAAGATTTTTACTAGGATTCAAATCGATAAAATATAAATATTATTCTGAAATCTATTATTGATCGCATTATAAGTTAATGGAGAACTTCTGTTTTATATAAATGACTGAATCATACAATATCAATCAGTTTGCTCAAAAATATAAATAACCTAATTCGAAACAGGGAAGAAAAACATACCATGCAGAACGCAAGAAGCATGTGTTATATTTTCATAATCAAACGAATGTTTTACTTTTTTGCTGAAGAACTTTAATAAACATTGAAATCGTTTTATAAGATAATAATCATATTAAACTGTAAATATAGAATATCTATGTACTACTTGCATTCAAGAGATTCTTTTAAAATTTGCTAAAGAAACTAAACAACATTTCAAACGATAATCTAGTCAACATATGAATATCTTTTAGTTGCGGTCGAAATCGTATAATTTAATTTGTTCATTTTTGCTTATATTGATCTTCATCATGTATATCATTTATGTTTTCTTTCTTTTCTCTTTCCATCAATATGATCGTCATGCCGTCAATATGTTTTATTTTTTTGACAGATGGTTAAACGTTCATGTTTTTTCTTTTCTGTTCTTTCATCCGTCTGCCTTGACCAGTGAGTATAAGCAAAATGAGCCGCGTCATTGTCTTTTTTTTCTCTGAACGGACGATGAAATTTTCGTCTCTTTTTCTCTTCTTATTCTATTTGAAGGTCAGTTCAATCATTCTGCCGCATATTCTCTAATATAGACGGTTTGCAAATATTACTCCACCCATTTTTGTTCATGATTAAAGAGACAAACTAAATGGTATCATCAACAAATCAATCGTCAAGTAAAAAGAAAACTTCACCAACAAATGATAATAATAAAATAAAAACTGAAGCTGAAAATGATGAAATTAAAATCTTTTCAGCTTCAAGTATTCTAAAAAATGAACCAGATGCTGATATAGAAGATCGACTTTCACCAGTTGTTGAAGAACCTGTAAGTTATCATTAGATTTTCATATATAATAAAATTTCTTCTTTTCATATTTTAGACTAGTCCGAATAGAATTAATACAGTTAATAATAATATTTCTGGATTATATACATTTCCATTTCTCTATCCATATTTTATGACTGCTGCTGCACAAGCAAATGCTTCCAATTTATTAACAGTAAATTAAATCTATCTTTTTTCATTCTCATGTGTATCTGTTTCTTCTCATTCAGGTTAATACATCAGCAGATGGACATACAAATAATCTATTTGGTAGTGTACCTATGTCTTCATTTCCATTTCCAGGTAAAGTTTATTTTGTTATATTAATATATTTTCGATGATCTAAGTGAGACAATTACTGAGTAAATGACAGTCCGTAGTGAACAAGAATAAATATAGCAAATTGAAAATATTCATTCGTAATGAATTTTGTATCATAACGACTGTTCACGAATTTAAAATTCATCATTATGATGTATGATGTTGTATTAATACCTTATCTAATAGGCGGATTATTTTACTTTTACGACGTTGTCAAAACTAAATTTAGAATCCTGACAAGTATACTATAATATGAAGAGAATTCCTACCTTTTAATTTAATTAATTCAGACATGCCTGGAATGAAACTGAGACTTCAAATTTTTAGTGATATATATTCTACACTCTTTGAGTTATGAAAATAAATACTACAGTTGCACTTTTAAGCTGTTAAAATAATCATTTAATTTATCTTCTTAGGCATGCCATTTGCTCCTGAAATGATGAATCCATCATTTGCACCAAATTTCTTCAATCCATTTGGAGGTATTCCAGTTTCATCAAATCAATCATCAGTACCATCACGAAAGTAAGAAGAATTCATCATCATCTTATTTCTTATTCATCGTTTTTCGTTTAGTGTACATATTTCTCATGAAAAAATTCGCTCGAAGAAACCTCATATAAAAAAACCATTAAATGCATTTATGATCTATATGAAAGAACAACGTGTACACATTGTAGAAGAATCAGCGTTAAAAGAATCATCAGCAATAAATAAATATCTTGGTCAAAAATGGAAAGAATTACCACGATCTGAACAAGATAAATATTATGGTAATAGCAAAAAATAAAATAGTTTTGTCTATTTTGTGGATTTATTTTTTTTAGTCTTAGCAAAAGAAGAACGAAATCGTCATTTACAAATGTATCCAAATTGGTCAGCACGTGATAATTATGGATTAAAAAAGAAACGACAATCTGTTGTTATAGAAAAAAAACTTCCACAAAAAAATAAGAATTCAGTACAATATGAGAATGGTATGTTGAAAAATATACTAGTTAAGTTCGATTTTTATTATTCTTATTATTATTTAGATCCAAAGAAATGTCGTGCAAGATTTGGTTTAGAAGGTATTAATCAATGGTGTAAACACTGTCGACGAAAGAAAAAATGTACTCGATTTCTAGAAGATGATCCAATAACAACAAATCAAAGAACATTATCAAATACAGTTAGTTCACCAGATGCTACGCAATCTGATAATGATGATATATTATCACGACAAATTGATTCAATTGAAGATGATCATAATGACAGTAATGAAGAAAATAAACAACAATTTCAACTTAAACCTTCAACTTTGCCATCTTATTTTGCACCGAATTTTCTTTATTAATATACAGTTCATTTGTTTTTGTATGTGAATAAATAAATTGAATGTGTGAAAGGAAACATTTGGATTCTAAATCCTAATGCGATTCTCACGGATATATAATACACTGTGCACATGATTAAATTAAAAACGAAGATTCTAGTTATTGATTAATTACTCATGCGGGAAAAGGTTTTTTTACATATCTCTTGTATAATTCTATTGAGATTTGTTGTTAAATATTAATCTGCTTATAGTAAAATCTCGGACAAAAAAAAAGAAATATTATAATGAAGTGTAAAAGAACTTTTAGATCAGTATTAAAACTATATATATTCGAAATTTTATAATCATCTCGCTTCGTATTTATCATAATATTATCCAAACATAAGCTTTTCATTGTGTATATTCAAAAACAGATCTAATCTAATACACATACTATCCGAGAAAGATTACTTTACGTTATTATTAGAGATTTCTTCTTGCTTTGTTTTTCATTATACATCTTATTTTATTACAACATTATCATCTAGAGAACAGTAGAAACTATGTAAATACACCCTTATTATATAAACTACCCGAGCGAAAAACATGCAATGTTAAGCCTTATATCATTTTTTTAAAACTATCATAGTTCACTGAGAAAATACAAGTAACGGTCGTCTACAGACTTGTTTAACTATTTCTCGCAGAAATTGCGTTACTAAACAAAACAGGAGTCAGATTTGAATTCTTCGACTCCGATTATCCTTTAGTCTACTCTTATAAAAAAAATTTCTTTTATATCTTTACTCAGTTCTTGGACCAGTCAGTGAAGTACGGACACACACGCAAACAAACAATTTATTCTTACAAGACTGTTCCCCACGAGAGAGAAAGAATTATTATTTTAATTCGATTTGACCATGATTTGAAATTTTATACGCTTGTTTTTCAAATTAAAACAATTTTTAATGTATTAAAAAATAAATAATTTTCTCAATTAAATACTCGTAGTTCGTACTTTATTTTGTTTATTCAATGCCATTAAATGTTGTTCATTAATTTTATCTTTTCGTCGAAAAATACAATTTAATAATTGTAGAAATTCTTTTCGAAATGTTCTTGATATAGTAAGACGAATATAAAATTTACATGAATAACTAAAAGATGCAAGTGTTAAAAACCAATTCAGTAAAATTTTATATGTTTTCCATCTTGTTAAACAATAAATTTCATGATTAAATAATCGATCATGTACAATAAAAATTTGTAATATAACAATTGGTAATGTCGTAAATGCCAAAGCTAATGAAATAAATACAATTAAAATAGAATTTCTTTCTATACGACGTGCCTTTTCACCTAATATATTTTTAGTTAGTCGTCGATGTTTACGACGATTATGTAATAACATTATTGATGATATACATGTTATTATTGATGGTATTGATACGAACAATATAGCATGAATGAATGGCCAAATATGAATTTTCCATCGATCAATAAATTTATGAAATTCACAAATAAATAATGTTGTGTTTTTATTATAATAATAATAAAAATGATGTGGAATCATAAAAAGAATTGTTATTAGAAAAATTAAAACTATACGTTTTAAAACATGTTGTCGAGTTATTATTAAACGATAACGAGTAGGATAAAGTATAATAAAATTTCGATCAATAGACATTGATGCTAAATATAAATTAGATAATATTGTTGAACCTATTAGAATACTATAGAATAAGCCGCAAGATAATATTTGCCGAGGATCAGTCTTAATTATAGACATGCCAACAAACCATAACCAAGAGATGCCTATAAAAATCTTATTTATTAAAAGTTAGTAAATTAATTAGAATGGATAAGATTTATTTTTACACAATATTTCATGATTTAGAACGAGAAATTTTTTTAATATGAATTAATGCTTTCATTCCGCAGTGGGATCGAGAATCAATGATTTTGTTTTCGATGCCAAATAATTACAAGGCTGTCGATTCTGATTTTAAATTACAAAAGGATCGGAATCGGCAACATGCTCATATGGTTTTTTCTCCGAACAAAAAAGATACATTTTAATGCAATGATAAATATCTATTAATTTATAACTAGTTTCTAAAAATAATACTCACAAACACCTGAAGCAAATCTAGAGAAATCAAAGATTTTAACCTACACGTGACAATTTCGGCTTCAAAAATAAACTCGATTTTGTCCGTGTCTAATTGCTATAGGTACTCTACTTCGTTCATGATTAGTTGTTTTTCTTTTATCACTATAAATATCTAGAAAACTATTGACACCCCCCACGGAGATACAGAATTTAGTAACAGCTGAATAAATGAGTCGTATAAGATTGTTCTTTACTAAATTAATTTTACAGGCAGTTTGGCAAGATATACTTTTATACTCATTCTATTAATAATACGAGACTTTTTAAGAAAAAGGATACTGTTAAATATTTTTTTTCTAACTAACAATTAGTAAATTGACATCTGTTTTATCTCAAGAGTAAATATTTTAGTATAAATTATTATTTTATATCTATATAATTAGTTCTATTGATTTAATTTTTATATTGTATCATGCGAACTATTCAATAATGCTAACCTTTTGTCTGACATTTCCATTTCCGATTAACAAAAAACAATATTTCATCGGAATTAATATATGCTCAACTTAAATTACTAATGGTTTTTTTCTTCTTCAGAGAATCAATTAGAAAATATACAAACCAAGTAGAAAAATTAATTCACAACAAGCAATAGCTAAAAAATATAATGATGTTGGTTCTTTTCGATTGTTTTTATTTGACAAAATTATAATTGAAAATAAATGACCAGGGATACCAAATATAATACATAGAAGACCACATGAACGCCAAACAATATAAGATATATGTACTGCGTTATGATAATGTAAAATACTAGGACAAATTTCTAATGCTGTATTATTCATTATGAATCTAATGGTTACATTCTAATGCTTGGAAAATAATTGTGTATGCATGCGTTGTGCGGGCCTACTTTTTATTGACATCGAAGAGCAGTATGAGGGAAAAAAAAGAAGAAAAACAAGAAAGAAAAGGGTTTTCTCAATACTGGTAAGCTTGATCACTATGGGAACATGGGGAAGAAGAGAAAAAGAAATAGTTCCTGACTTATTCATTCTTGTTTGAATGAGACAATACAATTAAAATATAATGTATCGTTCGGATAGATTATAGTATTTTGTTTATTTATATAAAACAAAAATTAATTCAATTAATTAATGATTTTTCTTATCGAATGAATGAAAACATCTACATATATTTTGCATGTTTACTACAAATATAATAAAGGAAAAAAGTTCTTTTATCTATTTATGAGATTACAAGATTGATATATTTAATATTTTTAGGACTAATTATAGTTAAATATAAAATTTAATTATTAGAATCTATTTTTATCAAAACTTGGAATTAATTAGTAGGTATGTTTAAGACAAGTTCTCTTTTAGATTTATTTTAATATAGAATAGAAAGCACGGATTATCTTTATATAAATATAATAGTGTGCACAAGCTGGTTTTTACGTGATAGGAAAGAACTTTTAGTCTGTTAAGAACGGATAATGGTTTTGCTTCTTTTTAGATAGTCTTTTTATTACGATAGTTGATACTGTAGGTACTTTAAACATGTGCAAGAGTAGAAAGAACTCGGAATGTTAGTTTTGAACAATAGAATTGGCTGACAGGAAAATTATTTCCGTTTATAGAAAGATGCTTCACTTCATCTAAAGGCATACATATCAAAGAGAAATGATAGAACGAAAAATAAACATACTTAAATATTATTAAATATATACATGTTAAGACAAGCAGAAATAAAATGGATGACTATCAACATATATCTATTATTTACTTGCTTGTCAAAATTATTTTCAGTTTTTGACTTCTTCTTATGACCGTAGACATATGCGAAGAAATTATCTTTTTTCCACTGCTTTTATATGGAGAAAGTATGAATTAAATCTACTAATAAATCTTCAGTCACAAATGCATAGATATAGCAGGTGTAATGTCTTATATGATTTTTGTTAAAAAAACGATCTTCTTTCATATATATATTTATTTTTTACATTCAAATTAGTTTAGACATAAAGTATATATTTATTTTTAACTATGTCTTGTGTTTACAAAATAAAGATATCAATAAATGACAACTTTATTTAATTCGTTCATCTCCACGATATAATCGTTGATCAAGACAATATTGCATAGAATTCCCAGAAGAAACACATGCTTGAAGATAATCACCAATAGTTGCCATCGATGGTTCTTTGATTTCTTCCATATCGGATATACTACGTTTACATGAAACTGGTGACATATGACATAGTAGAAAACCACGATGTATTGGTGCATATGATGTTGGGTAAGCCTATATATATATTAAAGAAAAAAAAATTGAATTATCAATCAATAAATATATTTATATATACCATAGTTGATTCGAAATAAAGAATAAAAGTTAATAGAATAAACAGAAATCGATACAAATAATTCATAGTCAGTTGTAAATATTTATGTTATTTAGTAGAGATAAGATTGGAAAGTAATGAAGCACTTTTTTTCTTTGGCACTGTATATATATATGTAGATGAAGTCAATAGTTTGGGTACTGTGAATGAATATATATGTTGATTGTATCCTACGCATAAAACTAAGTTTACTCAAGAAATGATGAATATGTTAATTTATATCAATGAACAATATTAAAGATAAGAGATTCTTGTTCATTTAACTAGAAATATCACGTTGATATATATATTATAATATTACAGTTAATGTAACACTTTGAAAATGAACAATTACACATAAATGTATAGATATTCTACTAATTGACTGTTATAACATCTAATCGTTACGCAAAATTTGAGTTTTTTCTAGCGTATTCCGTTTTCTTCTTTGATCCTACGTAGTTTAGTCTTGTATATAATCATAATTGAGATATTCATCAATTTATATATAAAGATCAACCTTCTCAAATAGGAACTTCATGCATCGTTCAAGGCTGTACTTGTTGAAACGGCAATAAAATACCTATTGTATTATTCTTCAACAGGCGAAATATTTAGAAATCAATTTCATATTATTCTACTCATTTAAATTTCACTCAAATACATTAGATTTGCATTCAATCTGTCTATAGTTCATACAGTTAAAAGATAATTGAAAAGCGTAGGTGAGATTAAAATGCGTAAAAAGTCTTTTTTTTGTTCTTATCCATTTTACTCTCACTTAAAATATAAAATTATATTAGAAAAACAAGTGTGAATCTTCTGTTAGTATGATTAATAATTTTTATATTGCAATACTTTTGATTGATTTCTATTTATGATAATTCATTATTCAATGTCTTCATCGTAGAAAGGAAATAGTGTTAAACGATATATTTAATTTAATATAAAGGAATCTGTGATATAGTTATTACCATAATTGAATAGAATAAGAATCTATATACCTCTATGCCATGCAACTGTGAGAGACAAGAAAGCATAAACTTAAATAGTACAGACAACAAGACTAAATCCTTATTGGTACGTTTGAATCAGTTTCGTTTTAATATGAATAGAAATAATAATATTCATTACTATTCCAAATATATAATTGTTAGTATATTAAAAATTATTTTTTCTAAAGTATGTGAATATACTTTGAGTATTATTTAGAATCTATACCATTAATTCGGTATAGTTAAAAGATCCATTAAGTTTATAAAAAAAAACGCCATTATCAATGAAAACATGGTTTCATTTTTTCTGTATGTTTTATTTGTATGTATAGTTTAATCGCAAAGAATCAAGAAGGAAAATGAAGATTGGTATATTATAATTTTGTCACGAATGTATTTTTCCTGATCTATTGAGAAACTTAGTTCTATGAATTAACCATATGTTAGCAACCCTAAAAATAACTTAATAATACTAACTACGCACTTTTTAAATAGTAGCTAGAGTAAAATCTATGGAAAAAATACTTTTTTATTCGATAGGTCAAACACAGAAAAAAGTGCATTGATAAATAAACATATGGCTAGCGGAGTCGCGAATAATGGCTGTTGTTTATATGAACTCGAGAAGTATAAAAGGGTAGTATTTTTATGAAGAAGAAAACATTATTATCGACAAAAAAAAAGAATTCTGGCACTTATAAACATGCAATCGATTGTTATATTATCCGTGGTAAACGCTTTTCTTTTGAGTTTAGTTTGATCTATTATTCTATTCTAGTTGGTTCTCACTACTGTAGTACTTTCAGCGGCACCACCACGGTCATCACAAAACAGGCTACCATCAGTTAAGAATATGCAATTAAGAACAAGTCTACCAGTAGCTAGATACCGCCGATCAAGAGCAAGTCAACCACCAGCTTGGCAACACTCATCAAGACCAAATCATTTAGTTAATGACAATGCATCGCGAGCAAATCGTTGGGTTCATAATGAACAAGGCAAGGATACAAGTCAACAACCTCATGAGGGACATCATCAAAGAACTTCTCCTTCAACAGCACATTTTACTCAAGAAAATCAAGTCAAAACTGATCAAAAACAAGGAAAGCGCCAGAAACGTGCATTCATGCTGGATAAAAAAACCAAAGTTGCCTATTTTCATCACGCTAATTAATTATTACAAGAATAAAGACATGAAACTTTTTATTGTATAACATATCTTTATTTTACTTCAAATAAATTTAAATTAACATTATGAATTGTTTGATTTATATTTCAATAAAGAAACAATGAATCATCGGATAATTAAATAGATTATTTTTATTAAATGCGATGTGTATCAATAGATTGCCTCTTCTTTTCATGATAATAAATGAAATGTTTACGATAATAGCTACGAGAAGTGAATATGCATATTCTCCATACATTAAACAAATTATGAGTTTATTTTTTGGTGGGAATATCATCCAGATGGTGTTCAATGAGACAATGAAAATCTAAATAAATACTTAATATAGTTAATGTATATATAAATGAAAAAGGTCCAGGTAACTTGTATGATATATTATACTAAAAAAAAACAATTATTTCATTTTTATGATTATTATCTGGTGTTACCATGTTATCTGACTATATATAACCTATTAACAATTATATCTTAGTATTTCATATAGAATTGTACAAGGAAAATTTATTTAATTAGAAAATTTTAAGACATTTGTATGGTTATATATTCATATTAATATTTTTTTTCTTTCATTTATTAAGCTCCAATGAATAATATATATAAAAAAATTTCGTTTAAAATAATATTAAGCCCATTGAATTGATTCTCCTTCTAATGTAATTGAAAACATTCGTTGTTGTCCAATGATAATATGATACAAACCAGGATGAATCCATTTAGATGCATTTTCTGCAATAGTTAAAGCGGCTGCTATAGTAAAAGGAAAAAAGACTTCTTTTGTTTCATTTTGTTTTAAATGAATACGTTCAAAACCAAATAATTGTTTAAACGGTACAATTGAACCATTGTTTATAGTCGGTGGTGTAACATAAGCTAAAACAACATCATCACCATCCATATCTCCTGTATTTGTTACATTAATACGTATTGAAGAAATAATTGTATGATCTTCTTTTTCAATATTCTTTAATAATGATTGCATAGAAACAAAAGATTTGAATGTATTATTATTATATGTATAATTAAATGTAGTATAAGATAAACCATATCCAAATTCATAGACTGGTTGACCCGTATAAAATTTATATGTTCGACCAGGATTAGTTGATGATGGTCGCATTTGCATATCAAACATACTTACAGCATTAACATATGATGCTGGATAAAGTGTTACAGGTAAACGACCAGCTGGATTATATTGACCAAATACAACCGTTGCAACTGCTAATCCACCTGATTGTCCAGGATAACCCATCCAAATAAGACTTCCACATTGTG